ATTTGCTCCTTTTCATATAAGATCAGACATGAGGAACTATCTCAGTTTACACTAATGGTAAATAAGAGGAGCAGAGTTTTCATCGTTTTCTATCCCTTGAAGTTCTCTGTTTCTCAGAGATTGAATAACTTTGAAGGCTCAGAATATATTTCTTCACTCAGGAAAATATTGGGGTTTGTCCTTTAAAAAATATTTTCAACTGGGAAAGCATTGTTATGTTAATAATTGAAGGGGTACATTTTTACATACAGGTTAATCAGTGGTTTATTAGTTGAGTCCTGAACATAACTGAACTTTGCTTTTTTGCCTGTAGGCCTTCTGCCCATAAAAGAGCAGGATTCAGTTAAGACTTTAGAAGGGTAAACAACTGTCTTTTCAAATTGTTCATCTTCTAATTCATTTCGGAGTTGTAGAATTGAAGGAAAGGATTAAAAAGAAAAAAGAAAAAAAAGAATTTCAGGTAAAATGTAATTTACATGAAACCTCATTATAGTTATTCCATTTCAAAATGGACTATGAAGAATGGTGTGCATGGGGCATTCAGATTGAGATTGACAGGTGTGTAAGAAGAGAATAACCAAGTGGAGATGTGATTCAGAAACTGTACCTATTAAGGTTCATGCAACACCCATTTTATTGAAACATGGTGCAAAATCCAAGTTCTCTCATTTATTCATTATGACTGAACAAAAGTCTCATGAGAATACCTGGACTTATTACCTTGTAAAAAGCCATCTGGGACACATAGGGCTACATGGATTTCATTAGCTTTCCCACTGGATTTTAGTTCCCAGGAGGGCTTAGAGTGCATCCATATTGCTTGCTATATTCTCACACAGTGTCTAACACACAATGCTTAAGTTTTGTTCAATAATGGCTGTGGCAGATGCCTGATGAAAATTGTTATGGAGGAATATTTGTATTTAGAAGGGAAAGGTGATAAATCCAAATGAATTTCTCTTGGATAGAATATATGGCAGAAATCTTTTTGAGGCTAAGCCCATCTTAGCAGTTGAACAGCTAAATTCTCCAGTGGTTCATATTTTTGAACTTTACAACCAATGCTCAATTATTTCTTCCAATCACAGCAGGATGGGATTTCTTAGAACTTGGCTATGACTGGAGTTATCTCTTCCTGAGGAAAGAGCTGCCCTTACCACTTGTGGCCCTCAGGTACAGTGAGTTATCTGACAAGGATACGTTGTTTCCAGTTCTTATTAAAGAATTGGCTGTTGTGAATTGTGCTGCCATAAACATTGATGTGGCTGTGTCCTTTGGGTATAGACTAAGGAGTAGGATAGCTGGGTCAAATGGTGTTTTCATTCCCAGTTTTCCAAGGATTCTCCGTTCTGCTTTCCATATTGGTTGCACCAATTTGCAGTCCCACCAGCAATGTATGAGTGTACCTTTTTCCCCACATCTTCGCCCAAACTTATTGTCGTTTGTATTCATAATAGCTGCCATTCTGACTGGAGTGAGATGAAATCTTACAGTAGTTCTGATTTGCACTTAGATGCCCTTCAATAAATGAATAGATAAAGAATATGTGGCATATATACACAATGGAATATGATTCAGCATTGAAAGAGAATAAAATCATGGCATTTGCAGGTAAATGGATAAAGCTGGAGAATAGAATGCTAAGTGAAATTAGCCAATCCCCAAAACCCAAATGCTGAGTGATTTCTCTGATTTAAGGATTTTGATCTATAATATGCTGTGCGGGGAGAATGGGAGGATTAAATGAATTCTAGATAGGACAAAGGGGAAAAGGGGAGGGTCATGGGTAGGGAGGGGTCATAAGGGTAGGAAAGATGGTGGAATTCGATGGTCATCATTACCCTAAGTACATGTAAGAAGACACGAAGGATGTGACTCTACTTTATGTACAACCAGAGATATGAAGAATTGTGCTCTATATGTGTTATATGAATTGTAATGCATTCTGTTGTCATATATAACAAATCAAAATTTAAAAAGAATTGGCTGATTTAAAAATTCAGATTAAAGAAGAAAAATAAAGGAAGGGTGCATCAAATCAGAAAAGGAGAACTGTCTAATCACCCAAAGGATAACATTCTTAACTAAAAAGAGAAAATCATCTCTACATGCAGTTCATAAAGCACACCTAAAATATGATGACATAGAACAACTGAAAGTAAAGGAACAGAGATTTCCCACCCCAAAGAAGTTGCATTAACAATGTTAGTATCAGAAAAAAAGTGAATTTTGTGACAAACAGAATCATTAAGGATAGAAACAATTATATTTAACAATAAGAAAATAATTGATTAGGAGTGTTCAATATCTAAGTCTATATTTATCTAACAACATATTCACAAAGTATATAAAACAAAACTGATAGAATTGTAAGAAATAGGAATTTCCACAATCCTAGAAGATTTTAACTTGCCTAAATCACCTGAGGAAATTCTATCTCAAGCAGCAAAATAATGAATATCATAAATGCAAAAATTCTAAAGAAAATTTTAGCAAATTGCAAAAGTACATCATGAACAAGTGAGGTCTTTTTCAAGAATGCAATTTAACCATAAAATATTCTCTAAAGTAATTCTGTATAATTAAATTAACACATTAATTAATTAACAGTGAAAAGCCATGGGATCATTTTGATAGATGAAGAAAAAATTATAGGAACTTTTAACACCAATTCATTAGAAGAAACTATTAGCAAACAAGGAACTTATATTAAGGCATTTCCTTAATATAAGTAAGGGTATGCGTAAACACCCACATGAGGCTTTACACTTAATAGTGAACATTTAGCAGCATTCTCTTTAAAGTCAAGAGCAAGAAAGAATGACTCTTCTGTTACTCTGCTTCTATTCAACACTGTTCTCAAAGGGCTATCCTAAGAAATAGATGAAGAAAGAGAAGAATGATAAACAAAAAATATCTAAGTTGTTACTTTCTGATAACATAATTGTAAATATGGACAAACCTAAGAAATTATACAAATTATAAGAACTAACTATTGGGGTTCAATAAAGTTGCAGCATGAAAAATTAATATTAAAAAACCAGTGGATGTTTTTACAGATCAGCAACAACTGCTTAGAATAAGACAGTTTTTGAAAAGATGGCATTTACAATAACAACAAAAATTACATAGTACCTAGGAATGAATCTAGTATAACACATAGAAACATTGATGAAGAGTAACACAAATTTTTATTGAAGAACAATGTAAATAATGTGATTGATATACCATGTTCATGACTAGAAAGACATAATGTTATAAATATGTAACTTCTCTTGAGATTAATACATAAATTTAATACCAGACAATCTTGTTTCCAGCACAAGTTTTTAAGAAACTGTATCAGCTTGTCTCAAAATGCACATGATGAGTAAGTAGGTAACAACAGAATAATTTTGAGGAAGGGTATGATGATACAGGAATTAATCTACCAGGTAGCAAGTCCTTGCATAAGATATGATAATAAAATAGTGGAGTACAAGAGCAGGGATAGATAGACAAATGAACCAGAAAAAGAAGCCCCATATGTGGAATATGGGGCTTATTCCACATACGTGGAATCCCAGAAAGTTCTCATAAAAGGTAAGCAGATAAAGGGTGAGATACTCAAATACAAGAAATGAAAATTAAAATAAAACCAGCATATCATTTTATGTTCATCAAATTGTCAAAAATAAAAAGATCTAGACAGTGCCAAGTAATGACAAAGATGGGGAGAAATGGAAAATATACACTCATGGCAGGGGTGTCCAATTGTACAACTACCTTGGAGAGAGAGTGATTAGTCAATATTTAGGAATAGCTAAGGTATGTTATTATACAACCCAACAATGCTACCTCTGGGTTTATATCTTGGAGAAATGAAATCTTCATAGGAATGCTCATCACAAACATTTAAAATAGTGGAAATAAAAAGTTGATTCATAGAACATTAATAAATAAATTGTGTACATGTATGCGTACACCCAGCAGATAGAAAGAACAAACTGAAGTTATTTGTGCCTCATAAACCTAATGCTGCATGGAAATAAATCAAGGTTCATAATAATAAGTACAATAGTAAAATTCATAAACATTCCATATAATTAATTATACATATTATGTATGGATACAGAGTTATAGTTAGGAGGTGAATGCATTTTAAAAACAGACAGGAAGGCTATACATCAAGGAAAATAGAATTTGTTGAGGGATATAAATTACATACCCATGATGTTTCATTTGTTAAAAAGATATGGAACAGATAAGGAAAATACTAATATTTATGAAACTTGATGTTCATAAATAGATCTTTGCTATGTTTTTAGTGTAATTTTCAAGTGTTTATGAAATAGTCTAGGCAACAGATGAAAGATCATAAAAGAGGATTAAATCACAGTTGGAGTTTGAAGTGAAGATGCAGAGTAATTCTAGGTAGAAAGAAGTGAACAACAACCAAAAAAGTCAGTCTTTGGCACTGAGATTTGAGGCTACAGCTTTATTTAGGGAAGTTGATTGTAACTTGGTTTTGGAAACTTTCCTTTTGATTGTTCTCAGTTACTCCCAGGAGAAGATCCAAGGAATTTCTGGGTGCTTCCAAGCCTGTTTGCACTTTCAAAGCTCAGGTCTGGCAAATGAATAAAGACCAGAGAGACACGAGGGCAGTACAGAGAGAAGATGTAGAAGTTAGCTAAGTTGGAAGCAAGGTTTGGTTTTGACTTAGAATTAGTAGGAATAGAAAATCAGAGAAGGTGTTGAAATATGAGCAAAGAAATTTGTGCCCGGAAAAACAAACAAACAAAAACAACAAAATGCCAAGGATGAGTGTCCTAAGATAAATGTTTTAGCATGTGTCTGCGTGTTTTATTATCAGAGAGGTTTAGAATGTCATTTCCCCCTTTCTTTTAAAAAAATGTGTCCCAAGAAGTTTTGCTGAATCAAAGAAAAAACATGTCTCAAATTCTATTTTTCATATAATCCAAGTTTCATACATATATGTATAAAAGACCCTCCAAAAGCTGTTGCTCAAGAAATAATTTATTAAGTCAACTTAGAGTAGGCATTGTTACCATTGCAAAAGCATTTGCTCTGAAAAAGGATTGAAAAATGCATCATGAAGTTACATAGTTCAGCAACAATATCAATATTCATCTTGTAAAGTAAAACTATTGGCAAATGTCATTTAAGCTCGCCTTGTAATTTTTAATGTTTTATAAGGAGCAAATGTGTCACCTTAAAAATGTACCTGTGGCATTTACAAATTCTTTCGAATACATTTATAAATACAGTAATAAAAATTCCTGAGGTCTGTTTTCTTATGCCAGTGTTTGCCAACACACATCCATGTGGTGTTTTATTTGACTGACATCCTCTAGCTTTTTCTTTAAAAAATATTTTATAGCATTCATAAAAATATCTGTGCTTCAAGTCAGTTTATAAGCACACATTTTAATGTGAACCTGATCACAACAAGAGAAAAATGCTTAACATTTGTATGGGAAGCAGGAGTTGATGGACAGTGTGCATGGAGGAGGTTATTGATAAAAGAATTTTAACTTTAGGTGTCAAGATTTCCAAAGCAGAATACATTTTACAGCATTAATAATGGGTTTGATTTCCTCTGCAGGCTTTGGAGGGATTTTCAAAATCATCAGGACTTTTTCTTCCCATGTCCAGGGAGGTCCCTTTTGGGGGCTTTTCAATGACACTTTCTTTCACTCCTCTTCACTCCCATCTTGCTCCATCACCCCAAGATGAAAATTGCATCTCCCCGGTTCTAAAAAATGGGGGAGACTTGGTATGTGTGAAACTTGGTCAGTAAGATGTAAGAGGTCTAAGTGGGTGAAAATTTCATATGGGATTCTGGCAAGATGTGGCAGTACAGAATTTCCATTTTCATTGAGGAAAGCACATGCAGTTAACTTTGGAAAACTAGCTCCCTACTACATTCCTTAGCTCATCACTAATTGTAGAAAGCCTGTGTCTGATGGCTGACAGTGTGCATTTTGTAGCTTAAAAATACAAATGGGCCCAAGAATTAAAGGCAAATGGTTCCAAGAGAACAAGAGAGTCAAAGTTTCTTTGCCTAAAGCCAAGTTTTAGATCCCAGTATTCATGTAGGGAAGAAGTTTATAATTCTTCAATAAGACACGGCATTAGTGAATTAGGACGTGGCAGAGGAGAGTTTGTAAAGCAAACCTCCATGTTGTCTCATAATTCAACAGAAGCATGAACTCTAGTTGATTTTTTAGATCTAGATCTTTTTCAAAGTAAGAAGTTATCCATTCACACTTCATCTGATGGATTTTGCCAAAAATATATTGGTAATATCAATGAATTATAGTCTTCAAAGGGTTACTTTTTTCTTGATGATTTGGTCTTTCCTTTATTTAACAATATTTAAGTGATATTCTCTTACTCATTCCCACTGTGCCCAGTGCCATGTCACTTTATTTTTTGCAGCTCCTCATATGACAGGGATGAGGTAAAGGAAGGGAATCTTGTCTGGTAATTTATGGCAGGATAAAGGTATATGAAGAAATTTATTTTGGTCCCATTAAAGAAACAATTTCCTGATTATACATCTGTTGGCAACAGAAAGTTTTTCAGATAATTGCTTTAGCCCAACATATGTTATTCTGTACATCCCCATTTCAAGTTTAAAAAAATAAAGAAGGATAGGCAAGGGAAAAAGGGAAATACATATTTATTGAGCCGGACACTAGGCTGGGTATTTTTATAAAGACATGAATAGAAATATAATGACCACAATGTACTAGGATGTCTAAGATTTTGTTTGGCAAGCATTGTTTTTGGCATGCAGTAAAAATGAAGGTGTGAGAATAGCAGTTAGCATAATTTCCCATACTATTGACAAAGATTTAACCGTCCGTGTAGTCCCCAGAAAATGGAAGGAGATAAAAGAATAATTCCATGGAAAACGGGAAGCATGGTATGCAATAACCAAAGATTTATAGAATGAAAAGTGCAAGATAACAAATCAGATGTGTATAATCTATAATTCTTAAAGGCTAAACAGGAAAAAAATAGACATTACAATGATGGCATAAAGAAAATAAGTTTTTAAAATCAAAACAAGATTATTTCTGATAAATGACTGACCTTCCCCATATCATAATATATTTGATAGATAACATTATGTAAAGAAAAAATTTATTTCTAGGAGTTTTAGGGGAATTATTTTGTAAATTTCCTGATTATGGATCCTTTAGCAGCAAAAAGGCTTTAAGAAAATTGCTTCAGCTGTATACATAATTCTGCTCTTCTCCATTAAAAAAATATATATGAAAGGCAGGCAAAGGAAATAAACATTTGTTAAGCCAGGCACTGAATTGGGTATTTTCAATAATGACATATATCATCATGGCTTTGGGAAACCACCTTAAGGTGACTTAATAGTTAGGAAAAAACTCTACACTCTGTTATTTTTTTTTAATCTGATGACTATGTATTCTTTCTGAAGTTTACTCATCAGCCAGTTTTTATAAAATACAAAAATGTAAAAAGGGTTATTCAGAAAACCTAGCATAAGCCTGCAAAGTGGTGAATTAGAAGTTGCATTCTCATGTCAAGAAGCAAACAATGTCATCAATGTACTTAACAATCACTTCTAATTTGCCACTTAATGTTGAAAGATTTTACTTGGCATTTTCTAGGGAGAGAAGACAAGCAGAGGTAGTGGTAGCTTTGAAAATATGGAACCTTCCATTATGGTGAAGGCTTCACTTCAGTATGGCTTTGCAGAAGACACGATCTTGCAATGGGTTGGGTCTAGATCGCTTTGGTTTCCACATGAGACTCCTACATTGTTCAAAATGAATGATGAAGCACAAAAGTAAGCCTCATTATGCAGATAACACTCAAGAGTCAGTGGTCACATGAAGCAAAGCCGAGGGGTTGAAGTTGATGTTTAAATAGTTGTTGGATTGTACTTTAAACACAGAACACCCCAGAGCAGCTGTACAGTGGCATATGATACTACTTCAAAGATTAAAGAAAAATTAGTACATTCACAGTTTCAACAGAAATATGTGATTACATTTTTTAGTCTTATTTTACAGTCATAAACATAATCATTTTGAAATTACACATGGATAGATTCTAAGTCATTAAATAATTTTCATTTCTATTACATAATGAGTTTTATAACACGAGGATTATATATTTCAGTGTGGCATATACTGTTTTTGAACCACATACGGCAATATAGTATAAAATAATACAATGATTACTTTAAAGTCAGAAATGACTTATGACAAATACATCCAATATGCCACCAAAAACAGTCAAAGCATGAGATGTTTCATTTCTAAACTACAAGCAGCTTTGAAGGAAGGTTATTAGGACATGAAGGGGAGGTAGTTATTTCTAAAATTAATTTCAAAATTCATTTTTCCCAAGAATTTATAAAACAAATCATTTTTCAGAGGTATTCTTGCCATATAGCTTTTCAATTTTAGATAACATGATAAAAAAATCCCCTCCCACCAGAATGCAAAATGTGCACAGAAAAGCTCAGAAATTTATCCAGGTGAGCATAATTTGACCACAACTATTTAAGTTTATGTTTGATATTACTCCTTCTGTTGCCAAAGTTTTTAGAGGTTTTTTTTTAAACAGCAGCAGGTAAAATGTTAATTAATTAATATGCCTTGATAATTGGAGAGTCCCTCTGTTCATTGATTACACCATATCAACAGGATATGCCTTTCCAACTTACATTTTTCAATGCTTTGTTAATTGAAATCAGAGCGTAAACCAAATAAATTGATGTGGATAAAAGAGCTGCCAGCCTATTGAATCATGAATTATATGCATCTCAGAGCCATAATATCAGACTACTGAATACATTATAGTTTTATTATTTTCACTAAAATTTAGGTTTAGTGGCTATTCTTGGCATTTTGTGGAATTCTCAAATGCCCAAACCTTTGGAAACATCCTATTTTCTATTTATCTATCTTTTCCCTTTAATTGAAATAGATACCGTGGGGGTCCCAGACCAAAAATCACCTTCCTAAAAAGCAAAAGTCTAGGCAGAGAAATCGTGTTTGATTTGCAGATGACAAATCTGTCAATCATACAAATCTCATTTTTTATTGGATCATAAGTTCTGAAGAAATAATTCTGTGTTTTTAAGTTTCTCCTTAAGACCTCTGGTGCCTAGTAATAAAGATAGCCTGAACTTATAGATGGCCACCAAATTAATTAAAGAGTGAATATGGGCTTAAATCTTTAAACATGCAAATCTCTCAGTGGGGTGTACTTGTGATCCTCAACTTGGATATCTGTGCCTGATTTAACATTTGACTAGTTCTTTGCAGGGTTAAAGTTCATTTTTTAAAAATAATTTTGTTTCTTGCTACTAGGAATGATTAACACTTGGGAGAAATAACAGGCCTTGGGGAGAAGGAATAAAAAGCCTAGAAGTACATAACACCAGGAAGGAAGAGGAGGGGGGGAGGATTAAATTCATCTGGGTTGAAGGAATGGAGCTGACTTTGTGTCTTAAGCATTTTTGTAGACACACTGTCTTCAGAGTTCACTGGGCAGGTCAAGGGCAGGTCAGCAATGTGTTCCCATGGGGTACCTGGACCTTGGACATGAACTCTTGGATTTTACTTAGATTATGAGAATCAAAGGCAGAGCTAGAAGAAATCCTAGAAATATTTTTGGCCAACTCAGTGAGAAAATTGGTGGCCAGAATTTAAAGGTCCATATAGCTTGTTCAGTGGCAGTGATAGGAGCTAGACCTGGACATGGAACGCCAAGTCACTATCCCAGCAATGACAATATTGTGCTTGAGCAAAAAAGACAGGAAAGGACATTTATTCACTGAAGTACACACAAGGCTTTCATCAATGGCTTATCTATTTTTAACAACACTGGGGGTGATAACTCAGAGTCATTAGTGTTTTTCCATCTGTGTGCAAAGTTTCAAAGTGCACACATTGTTCTTTTGAGGCTCTGGCGTGCAATTCAGTGACATTTAAAAGCACAACAATATGCTTTAAAATGGATTGTCTTGAGTGGGTGGCAGGTTTATCCCCAAATCATAGCCAGACTCAATTTCTTGTCAGGCAAAGTAAGTTACACTATTAACATCTGCTCTATGATGGTTCATTGGAACAATACACAAAAATCTACTGAACATTTTGCTGGTTGATTCTTAGGCCATTTTGTCATTCTTTCTGACTTCTCTTTCCATTTCTTCATTTTTTTTAATGCAACATTTGCATAAAAACAAAATCTACTTAAGGTCAGTTTTACTTTCTGACAAATTTCTTGCAAAGTGACAACTCTTTTTTTGTTTTTTAGAAAATAAAGAAAGGCACTTTTATAAAACATACAAATCTGTTTCTTTATCCTCTACTCTAAGGAGATAGGGAAGTTGGCAAGGCAGGCCCAAGTCTTTCTGCAAATGCAAATGATGGGCAGCAGAGGGCAGCTCAAAAAAGCAAGAGCCAGATTTCTTCCAGAGACAAACTGCTCCCTGGAACTCAGCCTCAGGTCACTCATTAACTCAAGGTTTGCCTGTTTATTCATTTCAGTCACCACAGGGCAAGGAGTCAAAATGCTTTGATCTTACACAAGCAGCTGGAGATTGATTCCTCAGACCAAACCAGTTAAAGTGAGTCTTCAGTTCATAACTGATTACCAGAGATGGTCTTAGGCACTTAGGAAAATGTTGAGTCTGCTAAATGTCAATGGCAGCTGATAATAACTTGTGCTCATGTTAGGGTGTCTTATATACATTAAATTAAAACTTAAATAGAACATTTTGTTACTTTGGTTGTAAGTGTCTATAAATCAGCCATTGGTTGTATCTAGTTTCATAAGCTTTGTAACTTGAATATTTAGGTACTTGTTTATCAAAGTATGACCTTAAGTCAGCTGGGCAATGGTTGTTTACAAGCTATCATAAGTGGAAAAAAAATCAATAGATAAAAGAAAAGAGATTTGGGGTTGCTGGACTCAGCCAGAAATGAGCATGGCTTAATTCACTAAAAGATAATTTTTCTGCAGAATAGTGTCTCTTTTCTATCTTATGCCTATTCTCTCTATGCATATTTGCACATAATTTAAGAATATGATTCTGTATTTATATAACTTAGAAAATGAATTTGCAATACATTAAGATCATTTGGGGCTGATGACTTGAAAAATAAAGTATGATAAGCAGATCACTGAAGATTACCTGGTATTCATATAATGAAAAGTAATTATTTGATGCCATATTAAGATACAAGGCATTTGTTTGAATGATCTTTGTAGGAAAATATTCAGTGAGTCATGGAATCAAGGAATCACAGTTTTTTTAAAACCTTTAGAAATTATTTGGTCTAACATCTTCAGAAAAAAAATGAGACCTTAAGAAGGTCTCCATCTCTCCTAGGCAAAACAAGAGCAGAACCCAGAGTATGTGTTCTTCCATTCAATCAGCTGTTTCCATCAAAGAAAATATGTTATATCATGAAAACAATTGAAAGAGTGCTAAATGATTACAGAATCATAGTTTTGACTAATGAGTGCTAATTTGTGTCTTTGGGATTTGGGTTGTCGTTAGCTGGCTATAACCTTTTTTATATACATAAAATTATATGTTAAAAGAAGATTGTTTTAAAATTTTCAAACTATAAGATCTACACAGTTACACACACACAAACAAGTTTTTGTCTTTGCTATGGTCATAATTTTATAAATAAAAACCTGTATATACATATGTTGGAGGAGAATGGTCTACTTGGGAAAAGTATAGTTAAAATTGTCTTGAAGGTCATTGTCTATGATCAACATCTTTTAAGTGGACTGTATTCTCTGGCCCTAATGGAAATTTTATGTACTTTTGCAGGTCATTCTCAGATTCTCCATTGTGTGCATCTTAAACCACTAAGAGGTTTCTTTTTTTGCCTTATTCTTATATATAGCACTGTTCATTGAGAGTTAAATGGAACTTGACCTATACGTTCCATGAGAGGATTGTTTCCATGCACTAAAATAACCTTTAGTGGAAATATTAATCTAGGGCAATGTTTCTTAAACTTCCATGAGCATGTGAATCATGTGGGGATCTTAGTTAAATGCAGATTCCATTTCTGTAGGGCTGGGCTGGGGTCCAAGATTTTGCAAACAGAATTTTCATACAGTGTCCAGTTGATACTGACATAGTTGATTCTCAGACACTGAGTATTGAGGATCTAGAGGATTAATGAGCTTGGACAACTCTCCCAAATGCTTCCTCAAATCGTAAGAGTTGTCTATGTTCTGGGAAAATAGAGCACTGGCAGTGTGTCCACTTTTAATCATCTGGGAAGCTGGATCCAGTTCTTATCAATATGGACTTGTTGAGGTGGAATACTTGACTCACCAGGGTGAGCTCAAGTCTTTTATGTCATTAGTGAGTGGCTGGAAAGTGGATTTGCCCTCAGGTGAAATGAAAAATAGAGGGAAGCTGTTTGTAAAGTCAATGATTCATAGATGTTCCTCTTAAAGTGGTGATCCCAGCTTTTGACCACTCTCAGGGGGTCAAAAACAAACAACAAACAAACTAACTACCAAACAAACTAACTAACTGATCTACAGATTCTCATTACCATACCTGACCTTTGGAGCTGTTCCCATCACTCTACAAATGCCTGGCTTTCTAGAGCGTATTTGGATACTGCCCATGTAAGTGCTGTCTCCATCTCTACCAAGATTTTGCAAATGGATCTATTTAGGAGAGATACTAACTCCTGGTTTTGCTTAAAATTCTTTTGCTGCCCAAGATTGCTCAGAAAAACAAAACAAGACCAAGCCTCTGTCTCTGAAACAGCATGTTAAAATCACCACTGTCCTTTTTCATGGTAGCTTTATGAAGATTCAACCATAGATGGGCAGAAGCCCCAGAGTTGCCCTAAACTCACAGGAGAAATAATTTCTGATCTGTGGAGAATTCTTTGAACCCAAGTTGTTGTTGTTCGTTGTTGCTTAAAGTATCTTGGAGAGAAAAAGAATCAGAGAAACTATGCTCCATTGTAATGGAAACTGGATTTTGTCATCCACTTCATATTTCTCAGTGGGCTTTGGGTTGGTATGACATTTTACTCTACAAACAGGGACTGCATACACTTTTATGTACTGTAAATGCTCAATTATAACCTTGTAGCAGAAAATACTGTACCCACTGAATACATAAACAGCTATACTGGGAAAATAGAAAATAGTCTTTTATTTTACCTCAGCAATAGAAAAATAGTCTTCAAAAATACATTGCTAAACTTATGGGTTTGTATTAAAGTAGAATTCGTATGTACAGTAAGGCAGTAGTTCTATTAGCATCCTGCTGTGATTATCTTTTAGATTAGAGTTCATCTTTTGGGATTTTTTTTTTCACTAAGGAAAGACTAGGGAATATAATATTTTTTTTTCCTGTTGCAGGAAAACATTCTAAAAGAATTTGCCACATGAAATTCATTTGCCTCTTATATAATAAAATTTTACTTTCCAAAACTATATACTTTAGAGGCTTTGGAATGAAGTAAAATTTAGGGATGTGAAATCTATGCTTAACATATTCAAAGTATCTTAAGAAAAAATCGGAGGCATCATTTTACTTGCATCTTGGCAATGTGTCAAGGTATAGGAACAGGTGTAAACAACTCGTCAGGTATGCTGGAATGCATGTGTTCTTTCCATGGGTTATATTTGGGTAATCCTAATAAAATGAAAGAAGAGTGTCAAAATTAAAGAACTGTTTTTCAGAAGTGGTTTTCATGGCATTTTCCACCTATCTGTCACCTTCCCATGCTACCATTTTGACCATTTCATTTCCTTCTATCACCTACTGAACCATGAAAGCCTTTTCCAGAGGATGTACCTAAATCGTACTATCCCTCAAGAATACTAAGCTATGTGCTTATATTTCATTGAATACAATTTTTATAACTAATAGCAAAAAGTGAATCTACAAATCACAGGACACAAAACGACTTGTTCTGGAAATCAGCAGTTGGGAAAAGAGGCAAGTGGTCAGACACGGAGCATGAAAAAGAGCAAAGTAGTGTCATTCTACCCACATTCTCAAGCCATCAGCTCGCAGATTGCATTTTGTAACTCTGTAGTGTTACCTGAAGAAAAATCACATTTTACCCAGTCCTTCCATTAGTCAACTCTCAATGAAAGGAGTGCGTGAAGCATGCAGGATCCAGGTAATCCAGCCCCCCCTGGGGGTGTGTGCAGTTGCTTGGTGTTGCTGTGAAGCAGGCCAGGTCTTTCTCCGCTTGATTCTGTTGACATGATGGCGGAGCTTCCTTGGCCGATGCTTCAAACAAAACCACGCTTTGAGCACGTGGGTCTGGCACTAACTCCAGGATGTTGTTATCCATCACCCTGGAAACTTTGGCATACTCCTTACTGATTTCAAGAGCCCCGGGCTTCTCTGTCTGGTCACTGTTCTCTTTCTGTTTTGGCAGCAGTGACAGTGCTCCATCTTTGTTGACCTTGTGAATCTCCACATAATCCAGGGGTTTCGCAGAGATAAAGTGGGCTTTTTCCTGGGGCAGCAGCCAGGCTGTGCCTTGTTCAGTCTTGGGATGGAACCTTTCCATCTCCTTCTGCTTCTCTGCCTTTTCCTCCCCTCCAGTCTCAATGGTTTTAGAGGATCGTAAAGCATCTTTGCCTGCTTTGTCCAACAGCGTGGCCAGTGCACCTGCAGGGTCCACAGCCAGCTTACACATATCATCGACGCTGTGGTAAGGAGACTTGGGGTTGTGCTGGGCAGCCTGTGGCAAAGGCCAGGTGGAAGATTTGGATCCACCAGCATGATAGTAGTGGATTTTGCCTTCCATACTTATGCTGTGGGGGTTACAGGTGAAGGGAATATTTGTTTGGGGATTTTCAGGCTGCTCAATGACCTTAGGAGTGTGGAAAGTTGGGGGGTTGGCCCGGGGTTCCTCACACTTTTCAGACAAAAGGGAAGGGCTGTCACAGCTTCCCCGGCCAGAGTCATTGTCAGGATCTAGGTGTAAGGGTTTCACACCTTGTCCTGGGTGTTCTTTCGAATGTGCTGGCATTAGCTGCTGGTCTTCACTGTCGTCTACTTCTAAAAACTCCACCAGCAAGTCCTCACAGTCAGAAGTGGGGGGAAAGTCTTGGCATCCCAAGGCACTCAGGAGTTCTTCAGACTTGCCCTTCTACGAAACACAGACACAAGGAAAGAGAGCTATTAGCTTCATCACATGCCCAGTTGGCATCACAGTTGGCAACATGGCATCTGTTCAGCACCTTGATCAGGTGAAGTGTGGTAAGAGCTGTGTGGAATTTTCCAAACTCTAGGCACTGTGTGCCAGGCCATCTGTAATCACCTTCTGGGTGTTACTCATCAAATATTTTTAAGTCAACTCGTGATTTGATTTTTAACTTACTCAGTCTAAACAATAATGATCATGGGTTTAGTAGGAAAGTAGTATGCACACATACATTAAACATAAAACTACTCAACAAAAGAAGCTTGTGGAACATCTGAAACCACAATGCTGAGGCGAGAAGCTGACTCTGCTACTCATGGGCGGAGTGGCTCCGAGATGTCATCGCTGGCCTCCTCACCTGCTCCACCACTTTCTAGAGTGATAATAGGTTGATTCTTTCCTTTCACCTGCTATTCTCTGCCTCCTCCTTTTCCAGTTTCTCTTTCCCTTCTCCTTTTTCCAATCCCACCTTTTTTGCTCCTTCTATTCCATTTCCCCCACATCTCCTTCCTCCTTCTCCTCTTTCCCTACCTCTTCTTTCTACTCCATATTTCCCCCTCTCCTGTTCCCTCCTCCTCCTTCTTTTCTGCATCTTCTTCCTCTAACTTCCCCTTTTCTTTCTAGTCCTCTTAGGTCAGGTACTACTGCCTCGTTTCGTTCTTGGCTTGATTACATATAGGGTATATATGACTTTGGACAAGCTGCTCCCGTAACTTCATCTTCTTCATTTTAATAATAGGAATAATACGACCTATCTGAGAGGGTTCTTTGGAGGAGTAGAGATAGATAATAGAAAGAAGGATATTAATATTCTTAACCCTCAAGTAGCTATGCTGTCTCTGTGGCCAGGAGGTTAAATTGTGAGCTAGTCAGTAAATTTAGTTAGTTGAGTTGTTAGTGATTAATTTAGTCAGTTGACTTGTGAGCTAGTCAGTGGTCACTTTAGTTAGCAAACGCATTCATGAGGCTCTGTAAAGGTCAATGCTAGACTGAATGGTGGGGTAAGAACACTGGTTTAGGAGTCAAACTTCTGGGCTCTTGTCACTGCTCTGATATTTGCAAACAAAGAAAATGCAGACAAGCCAAATGCTCTGTGACTCACTTTTCAATTTCTTGCACTATCAATCATAATATAACCACATCAAGTGACACTTGCTTTCATCTACAGGGAATAGATTTAACATATGTCACTGTTAATGTTTCTGTTGAATTGAAATTATCTATTTCAACTTAAAAAGAAATTAAAAAAAGTTCTAATCTCTCTTTTCATTAAAAACAGCCTAAACACGCTTTGGTAAACAACACTACTATTTTACTAACCTAGTCTCAAGTGACTGCTCAAACTGAGCAATAGGGAAAATATGACTTTGGACTTATATAAAGAAAATTCAAAGGGAAGCTTGTCCCATATGATGGAGGTGGAGGTGGGTTCCTGTTTTGTATTAATCAAAACATTCACCTTCTTTCCAAATTATTTGTACAAAATCATAATATCTGTGCTTCTGAGCAGCCCTGGGTCAGTGTACAGCATCAACATGTGTTTGTATGTTTTCTTTCCTTGCCCTTGGACTTTCCATATCTGATAGTGAGCACTCTTATCCCTCACACCTCTTTCTATTAACACATGCCAATAAGGAGAAGGATGACTGAGACGGCCTGGCTGGATTGATGGGATTGTGTGTGCATTTGTGAAGTTAATTATTACAAAGTAGTGAGTCACATTTCATTCTCTGCCTCTGGCACTTACCTCCAACAGATGAGTATCAAATCCTTTTATTTTTGGCCCAGGAACTGGTGGAAAGATGCAGGTCATCATGCTATAAAATAATATGGGAGATTGAATAAATTACTCATCTTTTTGCTTTGTGATTTTTGAAAAATTATTTTTATCTTCAAATAGCTGCTATGGGAACTATAAAAAGAGTATCAGGGCTACATTAAACTAATAATAAGCGATGAAGATAATAATTACAGAGACCTCTCTTAAAATTTTCTCTAATTTAGAAGACTGATTTTGAAACTCATGAATTATTTGTACAATTTGCTTCTCTTAATTTTAGCTGTTCTTTCCAGATTTTTACTATTTCACAGCTGTGAACACCTGCTTCAAGTGAGTTCATTTTCCTACTTTTTTTTTTTTAAGAAAGCACTGACAAAATGATTGTTTTTTTAAATTGGCAAGCACATTGCAACTAATGGTTAAAATTAGGTCTTGGATTATCCGTAGGTTTTCATTATTTTCACATTATCTTTTTTTGCTGTTATTCCTGACAACCATGATTGAGAGAAGGGCTTAGAGATAATGAAGTACCTATAGCCCTTCAAAGCCACTGCCCAGACCATAATCAAACAGATGACAGCAGAAAGAACAGCCACAAAGATCCAAACCGTTGTGTCTTTCATGGTGAAGTCTAAAAAACAAACAGCCAGAAAGCTTTGATCACATATAGTATCATTAAAAACAAAGCAGCCAAACTAATGTGTGAAACTTTTGAACACATGATTTTCTTCTAGCTTTATCTCTTTTGATTTAAGAGCAATCCAACTTATATTTTCCAAAATTACTAATATTTTAATATGTTGCACATATTTTACAATATAAAATTTCAACTCCATTCACATATTCTTTTGTTTGATTCTTAAAGAAGAAATCCATGGTAAGTTGCAGTAATAATAATAAAAGTTAACACTAAAAAAAAGTTCTTACTAAAAACCATCAATCACATTAAGCTCTCTACCCACATTGCCTTGTTTTATAGATGAGGAAACTGAGAATCAAAGAGTGATTTACCCAAGGACATGTCAGAATATGTCCTAACTTCACTGAATTTCATTTTTCTCACTTTTAATTCCTAATGGTAATTATATTCTCTCCAAATACATGAGAGGGTTGGGAGCACCAAATGGGATAAAGACACTGGAAACTGTAAAGTACTTTAGGAATGCAAAATGGCTCTTTCTCTTTGTGGAATGTAAGCCACTATATTTAATGGCACTTTGTTAGATCCGAGGGCCTCTCATGTACTGTGCCCATGGATAATAGAACAATATATAATCCTCATCAGAGATTAAACATGAGTTTGTGACTTTGAGATGGGATAATAGCCTACAAACTCAGGAAGAACTAAATGATGGTACTGATTGAACCCTCTAAATGCTAGGGATGAGGCATATGGAAAGGGCATAATGACTGACCATTTAACCCTCTGAGATATTTAAAGTCCACATCTATACATTATCTGGAAACTGGTCCTCACTGACAGTCATTCAGGGAGAAATGCAACCTTGCTCAATGTCTTTCTGTTGGATAAATAAATTAAAAACCCACCTCTATTTATTATTCTGGATAAGGCTCAAACAGTTTCTCTATTAGTAGTTAATACATGCAAATTTACCATTTAAAAATACTTAGGAATATAAGCAAAGGTAGTCCAGGCACTCACCACTGGGTATCTGAATGAAGCTCTCTTGACTCCATTTACTCCAGAATCCATGATCTGGTTTGCAGCGAACCTGGACAAGGTATTTCTGTCCTGGATATAAGCTGAGAATCTTAAATTGAGTCTGTTGCCCTGCAAAATGGGTCTAAGGAAGAACAAGGAAAACAGAAGTCACTTCTGACTTTTGTTTTGAGGAAAGGGACTTTGCCACTAAATAATAAACCATTGGAAACATTAGGCCAGATGATGATACCTACAGGATACCCTGTTTTCACCATTCTATGCTACCCTTTCAGATCCATCCCTCCTTTAAAAAATCCAATGACATACCTCATAGAAATGAAAAAAGCAATCATGAAATTCATCTGGAAAAATAAGAGACCCAGAATAGCTAAAGCAATTCTTAGAAGGAAGAATGAAACAGGTGGCATTGCTATACCAGACCTTAAACTATACTACAGAGCAATAGTAACAAAAACAGCATGGTGCTGGCTCCAAAACAGACTGGTAGACCAATGGTTCAGAATAGAGAACACAGAAACCAATCCACAAAACTACAACTATCTTATATTAGACAAAGGTGCCAAAACATGCACTGGGGAAAGATAGCCTCTTCAACAAATGGTGCTGGGAAAACTGGAAATCCATGTGCAACAAAACGAAATTAAACCCCTATCTCTCACCATGCACAAAACTCAACTCAAAATGGATCAAGGACTTAGGAATACAACCAGAGACCCTGTGTCTAATAGAAGAAAATGTAGGCCCTAATCTCCATCAAGTGGGATTAGGCCCCAACTTCCTTAATAAGACTCCTGTGGAGCAAGAATTAAAATTTCAAAGGTTTTCTATCTCTCCACTTGTAACTTTGCTTCACAATGACAAATATGTCATACCCCTCCAACTCTGCTGCATGGAAGACATGATAAATGTTAATAAATCAACTTTATAAATGTATAAGGGACAATACAATTGGAAAATAGTTTATACACTCCAGAGAAGTAACTGATTTAAGGATTATTAATTGGTATTAAAATCATAAATTGGAAGAGAACAAGGTCTTCATGTATGTTGAAGCAACTGTAAAATTGCTGTGAAATTGTGATATTTGTAAAATCAAATGAAACATGAGTTTATAAATAAGGGACCGGATTTTCATCTCCCCAACACAGGCATCAATTTAAGCATCATTAATGGTTGGTCCACCAGATGGCTGTGTCTCCTGATGATGGTGCTGATGATGCATTATGAAGCATGTAATATCACCTCTGAAGTATGCTGGCCCCAAATTGTGCAATCTGAATCTGCTCCAATCTCCAGAAAATTCGGGGGAAGAGAAATTAACTGACATTACAGAGAATTAATCAGATAAATGAAGAAGATGAAATATTCTATGGGACAAGTGGCTCAGCCTCCTGAGTGCATTAATACTAAAGAGATTTAACAACCAGGCACTATGTGTGGTCTTGAAGTGGATTTTGGTTTGGACAAGCCACCATTAAAGAAATTCCTGAAACACTGAGGGAAGGATTAAAAGATGGACTGGATACTACATGTTATTCAGGAATTTAATTTTTCTATGTGTGATTCTGTTATTTGGCATATATTTGGAAATGTTCTCTGTAAAAAAGACCCATATACTAATGGATTTAAGGGTAGCATGTCATAATGCCTGCAATTTACTGCATTATTTCTTTTTTACATTCAAGTATTTGAAAGTATTTCCTTACAAATACAGCCACTGCCTATGGATAAATTACAGTAAGATTCTCCCTACCTCCTGCCCCAGTGTAATTTACATACTTTCATAGGTGTCTAGATCGAAGGTATACTTAGAAAGGCAGGTGGGGAGCCTGGGGGAGAAGACTGTAAAGTGTAAGAAACTAGTTCGGGGAGAGCCATGAAGATGGACTCCATTCAATTCCAAGAGAGGAGAGAAGGCCTTCCCACATCTGGGTGGGTTACATCTGCCTGGGTAGGCCAACACGGTGGCCCACTCGTTGAAGAAATGATCTGTTGATAGCCGTGAGGGGTTCATCCTTGCTAATGAACATGGATTCTTCAAAAACATTCTGTTTGACTCACCTCCCACTCAGCTGCTTTCTCAGGTTTTAATCGAATTTCATACTGTAGCGTGAGCCAACCAGATCTTATGTCAACCAGGCTGGGTGGCAACCACTTTATCCACAGATATGGTTTTCTGTCTTCTGGCTGTTTTACTTCCAATGTCAGGTTCTCGGGAGGGTCTGGTTCAACTGTACATAGAAAAGAGATTCCAGTTGCATTAATTGTTCACAACTTTTATTTGCCACTACAGTTTTTCTATCATGGATTGCATTTTCAACTTACCAGCCTTCTTTCTCCAACACATTATAATCCCTTAGAAGACAGGAGTTATGCTGTCTGCCTCTTAGTATGTGACCAATCCTATCTGTACTTAAATTTGAGTTTAGTATGGTCAGAATAGCAAGCAGCTGAATTTTTGTTTTTGATGTGTTCTTCACTTTCCAGCAACCAAGGTCAAATATATACCCAAATTATTTTCATGATGGCAGAGACCAGGTGATACAAGTTAAGGTGGAATTTGCAAATGGGAGTTAGGATGAAAGATTATTGGGAGGGGACCTGAAAACTTATTTTCTCTCTGCTAGGAGCAAGATTCTCTTTGATGGCACACATGTTTTGTGGACCATCTATTCATATTTATGAGTTAGGTAACAAGTTTACAGATTCTACCTTTGCTTCCTCATTTACATTTCACATCCAATACACGTTAGCCCTGATGGTGAATGGAATTCATTCTTTCAGATACTAGTTATTACAATGTGCCTAAAGGTTGGACTTTTTGGCAATGATCTCTTTGGTGACCTCATAACAACTTGTTGGTCCATTCCTTCATTCTGCAAATGTTTTCAGCAAAATGATAACAAACAGTCTTTGGGTGCTTGCTACATGCCAGATGCTGCATAAAACTCTCTCCCTGCATCATATCATTCAATGTCTCCAACTAACTCCATACCGTGCTATTACTGTATCCATTCTACACAGGAGAAAACAGGCTTAGAGGAGGGGAAATTACAGTAAAAGTGATATTTGAATCCTGATCTATGTGGTCTAGAATCAGCTTTTTCTACCATTTTACTCTTCCATGGATGTGAGCAGCTCTGTGTGATGCCAGGGGCTGGAGAGTGGGCTTGGGATGTAGTTGAGGCAAATGAGGTGCAAAAGTTGCAAAAATCTTGGCACATAAAAAATGCTCAATTCCATTAGTCTTCTGGGAAATACAAGTCAGAACCATAGTGACATACCATTTTACAACTACCAGAAAGCCTAGAATTCAAAAAAGTATAAAATAAATGTTGGCAAGGATATAGAGAAGTTGGAACCTTCTGGTATGAATGTAAACTGCTATGGAAAATACTCTGAAAGTTCCTCAAAAAGCAAAATATAGAAATGCCATATTGCTCATCAATTTCATTCCTAGATACATGCCCCCAGGAACTGAAGAAAAGATGTTCAGGCAAAAACTTGCACATGAATATTCACAGAAGCACTATTCATAATAGCCAAAAGGTGGAAAAACGCAAATGTCCACCCACCAATGAATGGATCAAATGTGGTGTAGTCATCTATTGTATGATCCCATAAATGTGCAATATTCAGGCTGGGCAAATGGAGACAGAAGGAAGATGAGGGTCACAAAAGACTGGGGGAGGGAGAAATAGGGAATGAGTGTGTAGTGTGTATGACATTTCCATTCAGGATGGTGTGACTTTAGGGAATCAATGGTAAGTCACTTGTTTCCCTAGGCTGGGAGCTAGAACTAGATAAATGTTGCATAACATTGACAATGAACTAATGGCACACTTTAAATGGTAACTGTTGTTACATATATTCTACCACAATAATAAAATGATGGAGGCATCACTCTCAATTTCTGAAAGTGCAGAGTCCTGAGAACACCTCCCTAAAAGTGAACTGCCTAGGGTGCAATTTGTCTTACCCTAGTCTCACTCTAGTCTCACTCCTGATGGTCAGTAACATTTTCTCCTTTTATCTATTGCCTCCTGAAATCAGTCTCTACACCAGGTGGGGAAAGAGAGTGTGTGTAAGAATAGTATACTTGCATTGTGTCTTACATTTATCTAAAAAATGAGCTTTGGAAAAGCTTCCATAAATCCTAATGCATATGAACTCCTAAGAAAGATTATTCTATATGTACTTACTAAAGAAATATCAATTAATTAAAAGAAGCATTAAGTTGAGCACATACTGAGCAATGTCTGTGATTAAAAAAATGCATGTACAAAAGTCTAAGTAAATATCCAGAATGAATTATTTAAAGCAAAATTTTTTCACCTTTTGGACTAGATAGTCCTTTGCCCTGGGGGGCTATCCTACACACTTCCTCACTGAACCATAAGGGCCATTGAAGTTATGCCCACTTGCCCTGCAGCTTAAAGATGATCATGCAAATCAAGGAATATCTTCCAGGTTGATTTTTTTTCTACTTTGCTAATGACTTCTCCATATTTTGTACTTGTGATCTTGGTTTTCAGCTTGATGCTCAATTCTTTATTTGTAAAACAATAGCTTGGGTTGTTAAGAAATGTATGTATTTTGAGAATTCAGGGTGGGAGTAAAGCAATTGCAGCAATTTCTATGGATGCAGAATCAGATGAATCTCTTCTAACTGCTGCTCTACAGGGAATAGCTTTGTCTTCCATGGAGAGAATAAAAGAAATAAATCCCAACTTATCAAGGTAGAAGGGGACACTGATTATGTGGTCGGTGCAGGAGAGAAACATTAACAAGGAGAGCATACATAAAACAAGCATTGTTGCCAAGCATAGCGGCACATGTCTGTAATCCCAGTGGCTCAGGAGGCTGAGGCAGGCGGACTGTGAGTTCAAAAGCCAGCCTTAGCAAAAGTGAGGAGCTAAGCAACCCAGTGAGACTCTGTCTCCAAATAAAATACAAAATAGGGCTGGGGACATGGCTCAGTAGTCCCTGAGTTCAAAGGAAAGCACATAAGGATCCCAAGTGACAAACTTACTGAATGAATGAATCAACAAAACTAATTTGAAATGCTCACTTGACAAGGATATTGTGAATTTTCTCATCTTTTTTTTTTTTTTTTGTCAGGGATCGGCCCATAAGCAAAGAAGACTCAATTGAATTTGACTATTGGTAAATACATAATGGAGTAACAAATTCCTCACCCCTCTCCTTCCCCTTACCTATATAAGTCACATCCACATAGCGTGGATCCGAGGTACTGCTTCCCATCTTGTTGGTGGCATTTACTGTCATGATGTATATTGTCCATATAGAGGTGTGCTTTTTGCTAAAGTAACAGGAGTTGGGGCCACTGGTTTTGTAGTCTGGACATTCATGGGTGATGGTCTCTCTGTAATGAGTAACGTATTAGGAGGAAATAAGAAAGTGATAACAACTCTAGTTGTTTTCTTAGTAGATCAACACCACTGGCTTTTGGAGATTTGACATTTTAAGTGCATATCAGCTGGGCAGAGAGAGAAAGGGCTGGAAAGGATGTTTTAGGGTCTCAGCTATTCTGCTTCTCGGGAACCCTTCCCTCTGTATGGTGCTTTTGCGAGCTTTGAGATATGCATTGTCTGATAATAAATCCTGAGCTGCAAGGATATGGGTATGGCCAAGGCACTGCCATACCCAGGCAGTAACATTATGTCACCTCAGGGAACTGGGACTTTCACCTGCATACTCACATAGTGTGGCCATCTACAATGCAGTATTTATTGCACTTACATGTTGAATTACATTTGGGAAAAAAAAAAGAGTTCAAGAGGATAAAAACTTTAGATAACCAAATCAGTAACAGAATGAAGTGACTTTGAAAAGAGGTATTTTAACCCCAAGTGGCTTATTAGGCTGCTCATATGAGGAGATACAAATCCAGTCACACCACAGAGGGATGGAGGTTTATTTGATTTTGGTTGCCAGTTTGAGTTCATAAAATCTGCTTACATGACACCCCTTTGGGTCCCAGATGGAAGGACAGCTTTGTGTACAACCAGGAGCAGTTCCTGGAAAGTGAACCAGCTATCTTTACTGGTAATATATCCATTTCTCCAGGATCTCCAGGAGAATCTCATTGTGAGTTTAACAAAATTCTCACCTGGGGATGTTTTGTTTAGTCCTTATGGCAACATTATGTCCAAACATGCCTTCCAGGAGATCTCCAGTTCTGGATCAGCAACTTGGTAAAGAAAAACACTCACCTTCTTTTCCTTATATACTTCTTTATTTTCTTGGATGTGAAACAAATATGAAAACCTAATGTGCCACATTTGTCTAGGATTATATGGTGCTGATTTACATAATCCTATTGTGTTACAAAAGTAACATGTTTACTTAGGAAAAATTACAAATGGCACAGGGTTTACATATGGTCAGCTAAGATTATTATAAGGAAATACTTCTATGGAGACTTGGGCTGCAACCTAAGCTTGTGACAGGTAAATGGAAACATTGCTAATATTTTGTTGCCAATGTGGTGGATCAGCTTGCATAGATTGAGAAAGCTTGTAAAGGACCTTAACAAGAGAAGGTGGACAGACACTCCTTTTCTCCAGTGGTTTGAGCCTTTGTGGTATACACCCAGAAAATTCTGACTCAGAACCATCTCTACTTTGGCCTGGATGTGTGAACAGTCTTGTGGGGCTTGATAGGAGAGAAGATAACATTTTACCCTTCCTTGTGGTAAGTCAGTGTATAATTGGTAGGCAGTCCTCCGTCTGTCCCAGGACTCCACCAGCAGGTGAATGTTTCCTTCTCAGGAGAACGACATTTAAAGATAGTAGGTTTTCCAGGAGGTGACTCTCCTAAAAATAAGTCACAAGCCATTGGAGTTAATATTGAGATCCATTCAACCACTCAACTCTTCTGCTGGTGACAGCACAGTGAAGGCATCCAGAGCAGAGAGAGGCTCAGATGAGCAGACCTACAGGCTCAGTGCTCAGAAGTGGCAAAGCACCAGCACCCAGGAATACCCTTTGGGTGCTATCCTAGGGCAGACAGTGTTCTTGGAGAGAGAGCTTGGTGGTGGTTGTAGTGTGTGCCTGTGTAAATGTGTGAGTGTTGTGTTTTGAGATGGAGATACCAGCAGTTCACGTGGGGCAGTGACCAATTGTAACATTTCAGTGAAGAGTGAGCCTCGGGAGCAAGAAGGATGGGTTTGGGTTGGAGAGTGTGAGGCCTTCCTCCCATGGAATCTAAAGAGCTAATGTAATGCTACAAGATAAGGTGACTTCTGGCATAAGCAGCCTGTGCATCCTTTGCCCACACATTGCTCCCTGGCACATCTCTGCTTCTGGGTTTCTGTCTTCCTGCCATCCTCACACCACTAACTCCAACTGTCTCCATCTTTAGTTTGTCATCTATCATTGATGCTCCCTTTATCTGAGTGTTCCTCAGCAGTTCCTCCCTCTCTCCTCTTATCTTCTTCTTCCCCTTTCCTGTCACTTTTCCTTGGCCTTGGCCTAATGGCCTAGTGGATCTTCCCATCCTCCCTGTTACCATCTCTGAGTCTTGATTTTTAGTCCTTCTTTCTGCTTATATTTTCTTCCTCTTTGGGTTTTTTTTTGTGGTGAGATGGCAAAGGGCTGTCTTGCAATTCTATGGACCATTTTGGGGAAGGAATATGGGAAGACTCAGGGCAGGTCCTCTCTGAGCTGTGAGCTACCATGAGCTGCATTCAGTCTCAGGCTGGAAGCTGGAAGGTCTGCTTAAGGTGATATGGAAAATACAATGTCAAGGGGGAGGGATTTTTTTAGTTGCCTAATCCCCAAAGCTCTTGGCAAGCTGGTTCTCATTTCTCTTGCTTGGCTACTGTTAGCTCCAAAGAGAAACTGAGCTTTCCCAGGAGTTCGCCCCAGTGCAGCTGGGCTGGGGAGGCCAACTGAACCATCTATATAACTCCCATTTGCTCTTAGTTCCTGTCAAGTTTAAGGCCCCAGTGTTCAGTTTAATAAATGAGGAGCCGAGAGAGGAGCTCTGAGTTAGGCCTCAGCAGCTCAGAGGGTTCTCACTGTTTCCTCCCATTCTTCTCTCCATTCCTCAGACATGATCCTAGGCCAGAACTCCTAGGAAGAGCAGGTCTGCAGGAGACCCTGTAAGGGGGACATGCATAAGAAGGGGTTCTCTGGGTAACCTGGCCAGAAAGGAGAACTGAATGGGATGGCACAACATGGTGCACAGGACGGGCCCAGGATACCAGGCTAATCATGCCAGTGGGAACTGAGCACCATGCCAGTTTATAGGCCCCATGAAAGCAGTCCATGTCAGCCTAGGGCAGCTCTGCCAATATTTGTCATTGCTCATCCCCTAGGGGAGATTTCTTCAGGATGATGTACTTGGGAATCATGGCAAACACACAAGGTTCCTTTTGTTTGTTTTTGTTATGAGTGAGGAGGAGTATGTGACATAGGAAGAAAAGTTTATTTAAAAACCCCAAAGTCTATGGTTTAGTAATACAGTTGAAGACACTCGGGGCTACTGTTCATGATTGGAGGACTTAGAATTTCCCTCGTGAATGATTCTGACCTCTGCTTTCCCTTTTCTCTCTCTTTCACAAAAGCTTCTCTTTCACATTTTACGGGTCACCAATAGTATTTTTAGGAAACTCAGAGAGGAAGGTAAAATTGTGAAATTACAATGTGTGCCTTTATCCTCTTTAGAGATAGTCACATGTAATGAACTGTCTTAATACACAGATGCATAGGGACAATCACACAGGTATCACACATGCAGGTGTTAGGCAGATGTTCACATAGATCCCACATCTCACACACACACACACCCCACATACATGCACAGAGAAATACACACAGGGTCACACTTACAACAGTACATATTATTACACATACATGTACACACAGAGTACACATACAGACATTCTCATAGGTACACACACAGGCATAAACCCACACACAGATTTGTACCAACACAGGTACTCACAGAGGAGCATTTGCAATCAGGCAGTATAAAAAGTTAATATGCACATAGGTACACTCATAAGTAGACACACTCAGAAATGTATAGGGGTTGACACTCAGAAATGTACACAGATGCACTTAATTTAGCTGTGAATAATGTACAGGCATACTCCTAATTTAGCTGTGGATATTATTTCCCAAATCAGCAGATAACAGAGTTAGCTGTATCTGTTTCTCACCATGCAATAGCAGTCTTTTACATCCCTTCATGGTTTTTCCAAGATTTTTCACATTTGTTATTTCATCTGTGGTGGAGGAAATGTCACTTTCCTCACTTTGAGAATTTGGAAAGCCAAAGAGATTGGGCAATTGGCTCAAGGTCACACAGCCAGCAACTGGCAGAATCTGGACTAGAACTCAGGTCCTCAGAAGTGTTTCATTACCCTCCTCGATGAGGATAGAAGGCAGAGAGCATAATGACAAGTTTGCATTAATTTTTCTGCTTTAATTTTAATGCAAAAGGGTTGCAAATAATTTATTAGCAGCACATGACATAAGCATTTTTATTTCTCACAACTGCATTCCAAGAAAGCTGTGATGATCTCTTCACCTTCTTGATAAACACCCCAGCAATGAAAGAGAGCAGGACAATCTCTTACTCACCATTCAGGAGTCTGATGTTGAGAAAAAGCAGCAGCATGAAAACAACTGTGGATGCCACATTATACTTCATGTTGGCTCCCTTTTCTTCTTACAGGAAATGTATCAAAGATTGCCTGAAAGAGAGGCAGCAGGCAACTTTTTTGAAATGACAGCCTGGTCAGGCATATGCACCAATTTATTCTGGGTGTTTACAACTGTTTCTTGCTCCTTGCTTAATGTGAATGACAAAACAGAAGGAAGGGAATGTAGGAAAATGTAACATGGGATGGCTTGGCTCAGAAGCCTCGATTTGCACTTGCTGGGAAAAATTCCACCGCCAGAGGTCATCAGATGATAACAGAAAGTTCAAGGGGAGTCACAGTAGTCCACTTCTTTGCACACATCCCAAAGGGGGGAAAAATGTTCTTTTTCCATTCCACAGTCATCTGACAGTATATCATGCATTTTATGTGACATAGATTGCAGGCCCTACAAGGGAACCATTCTAGGAGGGATTTGGCTTTAAATCTCCAGCCCCAAATAATCCTGGCTGAAAAGTCAGTTTCTCAGTTTCTGACTTTATCTAGCCCCACGGATCCTGCCAAGTAGGGGGCGCTTTCTTTGAAGGTTCAGAGAGAGAGGGTCCTGGAAGCCCGGGCTATGAGCATGGTTGTGAAGCAAACTTTACAATGACCTCTAGTGAACCTCCACGTGATTTCTTTCTCCCTTTTGTGAAGTCCCATTATAAAATATAATAAACTCCAGTAATAATTCAAATCCCTTGAGCTCAGAGTATTAAGCAAATTTTGAACCTGCAGGGGTTGAGAGTTTTGAGCAATTTATTATTAATATTATTATTTTTACCCTTGGAACAGCTTTCAAAGCCTCTCAACGTCCTTCTAAGAAAAAGGATTTTAAAAACATTAAAAAAAAAAGAAGGCTCATTAGTTTTATTAGACTTTAAACGACACTCAGAAAACAATAGATTTGATGAACCAAGTGTAAATTCTCAGAAACACATGGCTTTAATTTCTCTTTAAAATTTTATTTTATTTCTTTTCTTTTTTAGTTAGTTAGTTTGTTTTAGTTTTTAAATGAAGGGGAGAGCATTGGGGACAAAGCTGTGTTGTCTGATGAGCCTCCAAAAGACCTTCGCCCATTCCTCCTGACCAGAGTGTGAGTCTCCTCCTGCCGGTCACTTAATGGGCAGTTTTTTGAAGGCTTTCTCCACCCGATATTTCCTCCTGCAAGACATACTCAGAAATAAAAAGCTCAGTGACAGCAAAGGTGTAGGGCACAAGAGCAGGAACTATCAGGTAGCTCCCTTACACCGAGGCAGCTGTTTTAATAATGGATCCTGGTCCTCTAACGGGTCCTGTCAGGTAGCCAGCATCTTGTTCTTTGAAGGTCCAGATTCCTTCCAGATGCCCTCCTGGGTTGTACATTCTCAACCATCGGCCCCATCTAATCCCTAGGGGTCATCTCACTTACATCAAGAGGGCAAAGCCCCTGAAAGGGTTTTAAATAATGTCTATGGGACTCTTCTGGAGCATCTGTGATGGGACAGGTACAGGGCAAAGTACTTTCATCATTTGAATTTTATTTTGTTCTCACAATGGCACCATGAGTAGGTACAGATCATCACCATTCCCTTTTAACAGATGAGAAAGTGAAGTATGGAGAGGTTTAGTAAGCTGACAGGCATCTACCCATGGGGACAGAGCAATTGGGCAAATCTGAGAGCATCTGATAAATCATCCTGATTTGCAGAAAGTCTATGATAGATGGAACAATGATTCCCCCTTCTGTTGGAAAGACAGTGGAGATTAATACAACAGATCCAACAGACCCAACAAGTGGATGTGTAGTGCTGAGCAGAACAGGAGAGCCAGGGCTGAGAGGTCATGTTGGCTTCTGCCCTGCTGGTCTCAGATTCTGTTGATTTCCCTAATCCAGCTTAACCAGGTACAGATAGCCCAGAAAGAGCTCTTTGTCCTGGTAATCTGGTTATCTCATCTTAGGTTGGAAATAGGATTCTGGATTCTTCTGCCTACTGGTCAAGAATTTATTATTATTTTAAAAATAACATCCCTTTATTGAAGCTTATCTGCTTTGGGTGGGGGGCATTGTATTAAAATGCTTGGACTCAGCATGCCATAAATCACACGTTTTTGGTGAGATCAGATAGTATCTAGGCAGCTCTTCCAAAGCAAGGTTCCAAGTGTTTTACTAAAGAAATGCTAGGGTGGAGATACAGGGTAGGTTCAGCAGAAGTAGATTTTGTCATCTGCTCATACTTTCTCATAAACTGATGCAGGATCAAAGAAACACTCCCAATAAAAGTTTTTTTTTCCTCTATAACTTTCAGGAAGCATTTTATGGACTAAAAGGTAACAACTTTTCTCTGGGATTTCCTGAGACATAGCCTGGTCTCTGATCACTACTGTGTATTTTCTTTTTTTAAAAAAATATTTATTTATTTATTTTTTTAGTGGGACACAATATCGTTATTTATTTATTTTTATGTGGTGCTGAGGATCAGACCCAGGGCCTCGCATATGCCAGGCGAGCACTCTACCGCTGAGCCACAACCCCAGCACCAACTACTATGTATTTTCTAATGCCTGAAACCCTTGTGTCAGGGAGTTAGACACATTAATATTGGAATCAATGCAGTGTTTCATAATGATTTCTCAACTTATTCTGCATCTTACACCTCAGCAGGAGAAACACAAAAGGCTCAGTAAGCCTTTAGAGTAAAAGATAATGGCAGCTGTCCCCCCACCCCCAGGGGGCTGAGCTAAATGTTACCTCCCATCAGACCCAGGGTGAGTTGCAGCATTAAGCATGCCTGTATTGCTCATTGACCAGTTTTTATGGCTGGCAAACATTAGGTTAGGGATGGAGTTGGTTTTTTATCTCTCTGAGTCAACTCTCCATTGGATTTTGATCTCAACTCTCCAAAAGGATCTTGATCAAGGGTAAGCCAGCCCTCCTTATGTACTACCTCAACTCAGGCTGGAACATCCAATGGGGTCAACAGTCTGCTTTTCATGATGTTATAGCAGCAAAAGGCTTGAAATATTTGGAGTCCAGTTAGCAGAAAGTCAGCCTTGCATATTGGATCCCAGGTCAATCACTGCAGGCTTCTTTCCTCACTATCTCTGTGAGTGTGACTGTGCTTTAAAAATACAAAACTTACATCTGAAGAGCAGGTTTGTAGCAAGTTTGTGACCCTCAAACCTTGCCTCTGACAACCTGACTTGGCTTTCTGCCTTCTGAGTCCTCAAGGCTCTCCGATCCTAATGTTTCTTCCTATCATATTATCCAAGGCATCTTCCTACCCTGCTCCTGCTGCTGTGGTATGGATGCCAAGAAAACTCCCTTTTCTGTTTCTCTATGTCAACACCAATCCTCTTTAGACCTTTATAGATCCTATTTAGGCTCTTTCCAAAAGCCTCCCTTCATTACCTTCTTCATTAAGCCAAGTCTCTTCCACAGAGGCCAACAGTTGAGAAAGAGGCCCATCAAAACATGGCCTGGAATCTTGCCCTTTTGAGAAACTAGATTGAAAATCAGGGCCATGGTACCACAGCCTGTGCTGATTCCACTACCCCCATTAGGGAGGACATGAACTAGCAGAGGAGGCCGAGTGGCTCCTGAGAGTTAAAAATACAAATCCAAGATTCAACACACCACTCTCCACTATCAACCCTAAAGCCTGTGTTGGTTAGACTTCATCTGCCTGTTCTGGCTCACCAAGCCCCTTAGCAAATCAGCCTAGGATGCCGGCAATCTTGGTTCTCCAATTTTGTGGCACTTGTTCCCAAGATCAGGCATTAGGTGAGTCGATACCGAGTGTGGTCTCTACTCTGGCTGCCATTTCATACCAGCCTAAAAGTTAAGACTGTTACACAAGTTCTGTACAAAGTCAATGACAGTAGAATGAATAAGAGAATCAATGAAGCCTCAAAGGTGCACAAGACTCTAAGATTTGGAACAGGGCATCTCCTGCATGGAGGAACTATGATCTTATCTGAGTATGAGTATGATTAAGTGCTAGACTTAGAACCAGTGTGATCTGTCATTGTTACAGTTAGTTTCCCTAACTTTAGAAATTGACCTAACATGCTAGGCAGGGATTCTGAGGACTCTTCAGCTCTTGCAAGCCCAATTCTCAGATGGATAAGCAAGGCCTCATCTAAGTCTTTCTTTAAATACTGTTATACGTGTGGTTTACATATATGAACCATTAAGTATTCTGCGATAGTTTACCCCCAAGAGAATATGTCCATTGTATCACCCAGGTTAAGAAACAGAACACTAACAGCACCCCAGAAATCCAAACTTGTGCTTCCTCCTATTATCTATCCACACTATCCCAGTAGGAGCCACTCTCTTGACTTCTAACACTACAGATGAAATTTACTTACTTCTGATTTTTTTTAATATTTTATTTTTTAGTTGTAGTTGTAAATAACGCCTTTATTTCACTTATTTATTTTTATGTGGTGCTGAGGATTGAACCCAGGGTCTTGTACGTGGGAGGCGAGCGCTCTACCGCTGAGCCACAACCCCAGCCCCTACTTCTGAATTTTATATAAATAGAATCATACGCATGCATTTAAAGAGAATGTATGTGTGTCTGGCTTCTTTCATCATCCCACATTACTGTGTGATTCATTCCTGTCATTACATGTAGTTTTACATAATTCATTTTCATTTCATCTCATTCATATTTCACTGAATGAAGTATCATAACTTATTTATTCATTCCAATGTTGGTGAATGTTTGTGTTATCCATTTTTGGCACATTGGGTTTTGCTAAGACTGAGCCAGCCTGGAATGGTGGGCAAACACCGTATGCCCCATAACCCTTACCTGTAGCTCTGTATTATACAAGGTGAGTGTGCTTCCTGTCATACCTTCTGATAATTAGCCTCAATTACATTTCTACTGCATTTCTTGTCCTAAAAAAAAAAAATAAAAATAACAGTCTCATTTCCTGAGAACACATTTTGAATACATGCCTTCACTGGTTAAAGTGTTAGGCATTGTGTTAGGCACTTCCTTTGGGCCCCTCTGCCCAGTGAGTTTTCTTATCTGCCCTTCCCCACCCAGTATTAGACAGCCTGAGGTTGAAACCCAGTGTGAGAACCCCCAAGTGCTCTTGATTTCCAAGAATCTGGCTTTTCTTTCCAATACAGAAGGCCAGAATTTAATTTGGAAAACAAAGGACATAATCTGCTCAGGGTGGAGAGAGAAACAGGAGGGATTTAGCCATTTCATACCAGGCTAAAAGTTAAGACTGTTACACAAGTTCTGTACAAAGTCAATGACTTTGAATGAATAGGAATGAATAGAATGAATAAGAGAATCAATGAAGCCTCAAAGATGAACAAGACTCTAAGATTTGGAACAGAACATCTCCTGCATGGAGAAACTGTGGTCTTACCTGAGTATGAGGATGATAAATGCTAGACTTAGAACCAGTGTGATCTGCCATTGTTGATAGGAGAATTTGTAGAGGTTTTAGAATATGGTAACTGATCTTTCATGGAGATGCTGGAAATTGGAGATTCGGTGCCAAGAGAATTTTGGCCTAGTGGCAGATGAAAGTTCTAGCTCTTCATGCTCCACCAATAATTAGCTTTGTGCAAACATGTGGCCACAGCAATGAATGGTCACCTGTCCATAGCCCAAGTGGTCCACTTACACATTAGTGAATATTCACAGAAGACCTTGTTCAAGAGGTCATCCATGACTATTATTTTTTATGGCTGTTACTATGAAGTTTACATGTTGTTGTTTTTTGAATATGTTTCTATCCTATTTCCTGTTTGGTGCTATCCCTCAGTGGGAAACATCTGAGACTTTCCACAAGGGAATTATTTCTATGTAAATGTTTATCACATTAGAATCTGGCAGGTTAGTCAGGGAATCAGGATTGCGTTAAAGTTATTAGAAACAGGGTAGAAACTGCTTTCTAACCTTCACCTCTGATTTCAAACATATCCCTCCTTACTCTCTCATAAGCCCCAGGGTTCCTGAAAGGGAACTCTATGCTCCGTGAAGATGCACCAAAGAGGAGACCTGTGCTATGCACAATGATGGCTGCACTCTGTAAGAAGCAGATGATCAGCAGAAGGAGCATTGGCAAACTGGGGCCTCACTGAGGGTTGGTGCTGTGGGGAGACTTCCACAGAAAGATCTACTGGCTTCCAACCTAACTGGGCTAATTGCCACACTATAATGTATGCTTCTTTGTACTGGAGTCATTTAGTAAATCAGATGCTGCTGCATGCTTACCCATGGCTGGAGGCATCGCTTCCAATTACACCAACTTCACTCCCTCACCACAGGATCCCAGCAACATTGTTTTTTTTTTTTTTAAATCTGAGGGAGGTTTGTTTTTGCTCAATCTTTTTTTGGCTCAAGGGCAAGAATAAGAATTGGGTGAGTTTCAGTGCTCCCTGGCCAGTGCACACTCTGGACAGATGGTGGAAAATCCAAATTGGCCTGATTTCTAGAGGAACTAGTCCCTCATGAGATCATTGGTCAATTAGTTACAATTAAAATTCATCCAGAAATTGTACATTATGTCTTGCAGTTGACAAAGCTGTTCAACAGACACCAGGGTTTTCAATCTAGCATTCACATTATGAGTAAAGGGACTTCTTTAAAGTCCCCATCCCTCTGCCTTGTCCCTGGAGATTCTGATGACTGTCGGCCCTCTGTATCTATAGGCTTTACATCTGTGAATTCATCAACCCTGGGGTGAAATATTTGGAAAAAAACATTGTATCTGTACCGTCACTGTACTGTGACAATTTGGGGGAATATTTATTATTTACCTATATTTATATTGTATTAAGTAATATAAGTAAGATAGAGATGATTTAAAGTATATAGAAAAGTATGTACATAGGATGCTACACCATTTTACATAAGGGACTTGAGCATCCACAGGCTTTGTTATCCACAGAGTTTCTGAACCCTGTCTTCTGTGGATACTGAGGGATGCCTGCAGAGTTAGGCCCAGGGGGACATGGGGATTTAAAAAAGGTGTAGATGATTCTATGTGTAGTCAGGGTTGAGAACCACTGACTGTCATGATGTCACCTAACATCCGTAATGCCTGCTCTAGGAGGCCCACTGACAGGAGGTTCTGAATTCTACAAGGCACCCCTTTCTTCTGATACCAGGCTAGCTCAGCATACCCTGCTGTCCAAAGTGTCTCTAAAGCCACATGTAATGGGAATCCACCTGTGGCCCTTCAAGAGTAATGAGTGTTCCTGGGACACTGTTCCTAGACACTGTCCTGGGCACCATTGCCACCTTAGGCTTACTGGGTCAAAATATTTGGAAGGTGGGGCTTAGCAAGGAAATTTTTAATGAGCACTTAAATGATGTAATTGAAGCTGAAATTTGAGAGCCCCAGCTTCAGCTGAAAGGAGATGGAAAGAAAGGGGCTGTGGAGGTGGGAATGGCAACCTCTCCACAGGAAAAGCTGCATTTAGAACTTCAATGGAGGCAGTATCCCCACTGTTTCCTTCTTCCCATTTATAGGGTTACACATTCCCATCTATTGTCATAGAACATGCTTATGTGCATCCTGTGGGAAGGCTGCACATCTCAACTCAATAGCTTTAAACTTGGCCATGGGAAAAACTTTAGACAATGGGATGTGAATAGTTATGATCGTTTTTGCTGAATCCAAATAGAAGCCTTAAATATAATTGCATAGTTTGGCTCAGGTATTCTTGTTTTGAGTCTCTAAATGCCCTTAGGATACTGCAGATAGTGGTTATACTCTCAGTCAGGATTCCAAAATGAGAAGACAGAGAAAGCCAGATAAGCTGAGCAGAGTTCAGCCAATCCTAGCAGTGCCACAGCCAACCTGATGCTGACCCAATGTCGTTAGGTAAAGGGAATAAATAGTGAATATTGTTGTAAGCCACTGAGATCTCACTGTTTGTTACTATGGCAAAGCTGACAAATAAGGGACAAGAGTGGTAGGAGGAGGACATATGTTTTGCAAGATTGCTCAAACAAGGTTGTGTGTGTGCGTGTGTGTGTGTGTGTGTGTGCATGTGTGTGCACACGTGCTGTTCAGTTAAACACAAACCTACTTTGCTATAAAAATGAATCTCTATTGTATTAGTAACCTTGTCTACTGAGTACATTTTAATTTCTGAAAACTTGGGCTTGGGATGTGAGGAGGAAATTTAGAATTAATAAGAAAAGATAAATTACTGGTTACTGGCTGTCTGCTTAGTTGACTTAGGAGGAAATGAATGTCAGTAGTTACAGAATACTGAAATTTTGGATCTGAAAGGAGCCAAAAGGCTTGAAAGATATTAGGATCTGACCTCATACTTTAATATATGGGGAAACTGAGGCCAAGACCCTTTCGCTCCATATGCCATTCAGTAGCTATGTGACCTTGGACAATCTGTGCATCTTGTCTGGGTCTTGGTGTCCTCATCTGTAATATTGTCCTAATGGGAGAATCTTTGGAGTATTAAGGATGGGATGCATGCACTGTTGAGAAAGCCAACAAGTTCAATGAGGAATCCTCAAGAATGTGTTAAAAGACTTTGATCCCCTCTAATTCCTACTTCAGTTAGAACCCTGGGAATATATTCATGGGAGTAGCAAAGGTTTCTAGTGTCCGTCAGAATTTGATTCTCCTCTCCTTTCTGTCCACACGGTTCAAGCCCACTCCCTTGCCACTCCTGTAGTTAGATGGCATCAAGTGTTTGAGCTGTGGCCTCTGAAAGTGGGCAGGAGTAATATATTCCTATTCTACTCCTGGCCTTTAATGTTTCACATATTCATTCTTTGTCTCTTTCCCTTCACTGGTCAGAGGGAGACATAATTGAGGACTTTAAGATGGTAAAAGCTCAGTATAATCAAAAAAATGGGAGGCCCTTGAGTTCCACTCTGACCCCCACTGGATTTTGTCATGGGTGAGAAAGAAACCTTTGGCTGTCAAGCTCTGGGTATTATAAATGGATAGTCTCTCTTAGCCTGGCTAATTCACAGACAATCCAGAGACAATCTGCACAGCCTAGTTTAGATGGTAACTATTGTATTTAATCAAGTATAAGAGCTCTGGGTAAATGAAAACCCTTGGTGACTGGCCTATTGCCACTATCCCCTCTTGAACTCCATCATCAAAGTCGCAGAGTAATCTCAGACTCACCATGTACATATCCAGCACCCCCACTCTCTCCTTTATACCTGTTTAAAGTAGGTCAGCAACACTTGCTGAGTGAGCGATTGTTTTTATAAGGTCAAGTAGAGTGTACTATTTCTCATCCACAGATCCACTGAAAGCACTTTCATTCCTCTGATTCCTGCTTTTCCCCATCACTTCAATTAGAATCCACAAACTGTGCAAGTCTTTCTTCTCATTAATCCCTATGGTCTCTAAATTACTGATGGATATGTTCTGAGACTTTTCTTGATTCTTTGAATAATCTTTTCAAGCACATTAATTTGAATGTAAGGACAGGTGGAGGACAAAGGCCACCGAAATGTGGTTGTACTGTAGGTGGCTGTAACTGAAGCTGATTCAGATTTCAACACCAGAAATGAAGGAAATGAGAGGGTTGTTAAGAACAGGCAAAACCTCAATTGGGCAAGCTCCAAATGGCAAGGAAATCATAATCCTTAGCCCATTCTTTCTTTTATTTTTGTGCATTTTTTCAACAAAAACACATTTTGGGGGGCTTAACACGTGTTTAAATACAAAAATATACCATTTGGGAAACAAAACCTTTATTTTAATTGATTGGATACAAATTTCTAAAATTATTCACTTCCCTGCCTTTTTAATTGAAACTTTCCATGGAGTATATTGATTATGGTGTGATGTGGTGGATATAGGCTACCCTACAGAGAATGAATACAGACCAAGGTCTTGTAGACCAAGGACCCTTTGCTAAATCAAATGTCTAGGACT